AGTGCCCACTCAACCCGCACTAAGAGGGAACAACTCGAGGTCTCTTTAACATGTTCGACCAAGTGCCAAGTCAACCGGCACTAAGAGGGAACAACTCGAGTCTCCCAAACATGTTCCAAAGTGCCCAGTCAACCCGCACTAAGAGGGGAACAACTCGAGTCTCTTTAACATGTTCGACCAAGTGCCAAGTCAACGCACTAAGAGGGGAAAACTCGAGGTCTCCCGAACATGTTCGACAAAGTGCCAAATCAACCGGCACTAGAGGGACAACTCGAGGTCTCAGAACATGTTCGACAAAGTGCCCAGTCAACCCGCACTATAGGGGAACAACTCGAAGTCTCCCAAACATGTTCAATAAGTGCCCACTCAACCCGCACTAAGAGGGGAACAACTCGAGGTCTCTTTAACATGTTCGACCAAGTGCCAAGTCAACCCGCACTAAGAGGGAACAAGTACATGTACTCGTACAACACAGGGTACAACCCAAGCTTTGGCTGCAGTTTCATCTTCTTCACAACAATTCCAGATGTCAAGTCCTTCGTATAACACTAGAAGATTCTTTGGTAACCAACGATCAGCAATAAAATCAAATCGTTGGAGAAAAGGGAAGGACTCGAAAAAAACGAAAAAAGTAAGTACTGGGCCGTTCTCACGTGATGTTATCCTACTAACTGGTCCAGATGTCAAGGACATACCCCGCCAAGGAAGTAAAGTGTTTTTACAAGAAAATGGACACATTATTAGTGCCTTTGAGTTTCAGAAAGAGTGGAGTGACATTGACGTAGAACTTGAAATACGTCAAGCTTTCCAGGGAACACTGCCTGATGACGTTGATATTGAAATTGTCCATTCTGTCCACACAACACTGCTCAAGCCTACATTGGCACCAGGTCAACATTTAACTGGTTCTGTAATCAACAGAGTCTTCAGTAACAATAAGCCAGTGTATGTTAAGCCATGTAGACAAATGTTACAACAACCTATCAATAAAGAGAAGCGTCAAAGGTATAACCTTCCTGAGGATGTGTTTAATGAAGATAATGATGATTATGACAGGTTGCCACAAACTCTCAATGAAAACTCATTTGGCACATTGGAAGGTACGAAATGCTATTTATACAGCAATGGCCCGGCTGATAAGAAAATAACTTTCTTAACAGTTAGCCAAGTCAATTAGTTGCACCTTTCATTGTGGTCATTTATTCCTAGACTAGTCTAGAATACAGCAGTGTTGTCTTGAAAATGTTTGAAAACAACTTCTAGTTATCTGCATAACACAAGCTTTCCTAAGTTTTTGCCAAGCAGGGGGGGGCTTGAATCATGATTGATGGGTACCATTTAATAACTTGTTTTAAACTTTAAACTATATTTTAAAACTATATTTAAACTCTTTTTATATATTGGGAAACCTTTGAAACAATTAAGGTGAGACAACACAACTCACTAAAGTTAACCCAGAGAACAGGGTTTCTCCAAATACTTGTGCTGCTGTCTCGACTTAACCATTGATAATTAAGAGGCAGTAAGTGTACTAGTCACACTTGCCAATTTTACTTGCCATTCGTACTTCTCATAGTTTATGATCAACAATGAAGTTTAATAAATATCGATATTATAAGTATCAGCAGCTTCCCAAAACATACATTTGCTATATTAAAAAAAATTAATATAAATACTTGTGATGGTTTTATTGTTGTTTATGAAGTTTAATGGATTAGGGATGAAAAAATAAATTGTGGAATATACTGTTTACACTGTTATTTTAATCCAAAATTTTATAGATAATAATATAAACAACCAAACTAGTCATGTCATGCATGGAAAGTCAAGTCAAATTGCTGTGGTCCTTGATGATGAACGAATCCAACAACTGCAATTGCCAAACAGTAACCATCCTGAAGCATCTGAACATGAAATTACGAGTGAAGTAGAACAGATCAACTATGTCAAGCCTGCTGATACTCTTGTAGATATGACCCAGCACGAACCACCTAGCCAAATAATGCAGAATAACCACAGTCAAATGGACATAGAAGAACCACTTCTCTTTCAAGGTAAACAATTCTTTCAAATTGAAATTTTATAATACATTTTACAAACGCATGTAGGTCGGATTCGCCATTCACAACATTTTAACGGCGGATGTTTCTCTTGCCATACTTTCAGTAATGTTAGAAAGTTTACAAGTTTCTTTGAGTGTTTTTTGTATCGGCAGATTGTAGAGATGCAGTCATTGACGCACAGGGTCAGTTGTCTAACGATGCTCAACTAACGAACACTCAGTTGGTCAAAGAAATCGCTATTAACCGCAATAACGTTTTAAAGGACATGATCACTGCATTTAAGGACGAAGAAGTTTTGTTTAGTTGTCTGGAAATTGTATTTATTGACGAGAGAGGGAACATCGAAGACAGAAGAGGTTCTGGTGTAAAGAGAGAGGCACTCAGCATATTTTGGAGAGAATTTTATAACTCACTTGCAACTGGTGCTACCGAAAAGGTTCCAGCGATACGTCATGATTATCAGCAAAGTGAATGGCAAAGTATTGCGCGTGTTCTCGTCGCAGGGTTTACCAAGTTTGGATACTTTCCTGTCACTCTGTCAAGTGCATTCATAGCTTCCTGTCTCTTCCCAGAGGAATCGATTTCTAAAGAATGGCTTGTAGAGTCTTTTCATCAATACATATCCAAAGATGAGAGTAAAACACTAAAAAGAAGTGTCTCTGACGAATGCCCTGATCCATCAGAAGACAAGGATGTAACTGACTTTCTCACAAGCTACAAGTGCCGCAGAGTGGTTAGAAAGGACACCATGCCAAAAATAATCGAGGAATTAGCACACCAAGAGATTGTACAGCGTCCGAAATACGTCGCTAATGCCTGGTCTCCGATCGTGAACCAACTTAAACGTTTTAAAGAATTTGAAACTGTTGATAACTTGGTGAGCCTTTATCAAGCTAAAAAGCCCACTCAGAAAAAAGTTTGTAAGCTTTTGACCTCAAATCCAGCCACCGATGCCGAAAGAGAGTGCTTCTCACACTTAAAGCGGTTCGTTAAATCCCTTGACGATAACCTAGTGAGTATTTTTCTCCAATATGTGACCTTCCACGGGAAAACATACGTTAACGATATTTCGTTCGTTCGAAAATATCGTTCGTTATCCGTTCGTTTGCCGTTCAAACGCTTGAAGCGTTCGTTGAAACGATTTTCGAGATCGTTCATCGTTCAAAATTGCCCGTTCGAACGCTTAGGAAAAAACGTTTGAAAATTGGTCCGAAAGCGTTCAACCGTTTGATTTACCGTTCGTTGAAACGTTTGCGGAATTTCGTTCAATCGCATTGGATTTGGTTCAACATATTAGATTAAACATTTGCAATGCTACAACTTTGTAGAAGAAGCGCAGAATGTGCTACACAGAAATACTCCCGGAAACGTATTCAGTTCCTTAGTATAGAAGGCTTGTAAAGGAAATAGTGGGGTTATATCAATCTAGCCTAATCGAATGCTATTTTGTGCGCTTCATGTTATGGTTTATGCTTAGCGTCATGCAGACAGAAGGCTATTAAGATTCAGTGCATGCAATTATTCCATTAGCGTCAAATTTCACGTCTTAAGCTTTCTCTCAAAAAATTATCGTTTTTTGAATTTCGGTAATGCACTAAATTGTTAGAATTTGTGCTTTACTATACTTCTGTAGCTTCCATAAGCCAAATTTCACCGCGCACCCAAACAACTCGCAAGCCATATATTAGCATTACGAGCCATAATATGCCTTGGCAAGGTGCTAATTAAGTTGCATAATTGTCGGAAGTCTCTAAATTTATGTAAACAGACAAAACCAGATTCTAAAATGAATTGAGGGATTTTGCGTGTTACATATTAATATCGTACTTTTAAACCATGTGTATATATAGCTAATTTATTTACATCTGATAAACTTATCTGGCCTCCGTACGAACAGCTACTGATTAAAATCTATTCAAAATTAAGGACCGCATCCTAGGACGGACCTTTCAGCTTGAAATTCGTTGTCTTTAATGCAGTCTGACATAGCTACAAATTATACAACAATTGAAATACCCTAGGTAATATTTGAAGACACAAACACAGTGACCTAACGCGCGTTCGGTAGGGTTACGACGAGAACTAAGAGATCCTCATTTATTAGAGGCCAGGATAGATAACAAAATATCATAGTATAAGCAAAACGTGATTTATGACAAACAGGGAATTAAGGAAGCCCGCAGTACCAAGTATACCTCAAGACCCCATCCTCAGCTCTGTTCGTTACGCCACTGCATGAATATAATAGCAATTTAAATATGCACGTGCATCTAGTCTAAAACTAGAGCCGGAGCAACAAGATCCTCAGTGCCCCGCTTACAAAATTGTCTTATTTCCTTAAAAAGGTATCTTTGTCTCCCCAGATCTAAGCCATCTGGCTCGATCGTTGCTGGCATGTTGAACGGTGGCAATTGCATAAATATAACTTATACATGGCATAAATATAACTCATGCATTGTAAATATTTATTTAGACTCTTAATTCACAAAAAAATAATACTTCATATATATTGATATATGCACATTTCAGCACAATTCACTCCCCATGTATATTTTGGTTGTAATTTGATTTCTCTCGACTTGCTCCTCGAATCGGAAAGGTGGAACGCGGAGAAGGCTCAAATCGTATAAATGATAGAGACTGTATGAGAGTAATGAACCTATATCAATGATGTTTATTGTGTGACTTTTTTATTACAAAAAATTCCGTGTTTTGTGAGGTTGAGTTTTGCGCTATGTTTTAAAGTGCGTGCAGTCCTTCATTGCGCACAACTGGGCTGACACAAGCCCAAAGGGCAAGTTGCCAAGCTAACGTTTACAAACATTTAAGTTTGACCTTTCAGATATTTTGCCACATATATTTCGCTATATATAATTCATCAGAAAAGGAGCATTGGAATTTATCTTGCTTGGACAACATATCAGCTGTTGGGCAACAGGAAAATTTTCACTAATTTTGATTTGGCCTCCCTTGATTAGAAATTACATTCCAGATATTAAATTGCAACTATGCATGGTCATTGCACCTTGAAGCCTGCCAGCTAGAGCGGCAAAATGAGCAAATTTGAAATGGCGCCTGTCAACTGTTTATGCGTGCATGAGCGTGCGGGTAAAGATCTTTACCAATAATTTCGCGAAGACTGTCCCAAATATTTGCTGGATATTAGCATCTATGGAGAAGTCAAGGCGTTTTAACGCAAGCATATATAAAGGTTAATACCAGGTATGAACACTAAATGAAACATTAGCTATGATATAAGGAAAGTCATGACTTGGCCACTTTATTAGGCGCGCTTGCAATTATTTTCCTCCAAGCATTGAAATCAGGCTTATTGATGAGATCATCAACAGAAATCGTATAACGGTTCTCTCGATTTAAACTAAAGTTTTTTTTTCCTTGAGTGTATTTGCTTGGCTTCTCTATTGACCATGCATATATATCGAAATATGACACGCATTCGAAGTAAGATTTCATATAGATGATCATGCAATTGTATATAACAAGACGTTCTCAATTGCATTTTATGTATATGTTAACGCGAGTAAAATGTATTCGGATATAAATGCGCACTGCAATTTGAAATTGGATGGTAGACCTTTCTGGGGTAAGTCTAACAAAGGTTTAGAATATCTGAGTATTAAGTAATTCACTTTTGACCTGGTATTTATTCATGTTTCGTTGGTGCACAATAGGTTTTGAAATTTGCGATTGTGCTTAACTTTAAAATGAACTAACTAGATTTCGTAGTCGTACTAAAGTTAGTCGTAGGCGTAGCGATTCTAAAAGTATTAGAAGCTAAACATGCACATGTTAGGTTGAGACATCCAGACCAAATGTTTGTATTTTCAAGGTAAAGAACAAATATCGTTTGGTATGGTGCCGCTAAAAAACATGCCATATTCAACTTCGCAAAGCTCAAAAGCTGTAATACCACTTGCAATAGCAAACTGTGGTGAAAATGTGTAAGTGGATAAAATTAATTATTACGATTTTTGATTACCCGTGCAAGTGATTCTAAGTTTCAAGGAAATGTACGCACAATTATTTTGTAAGCATTTGTATATGAGACAGAGTTTTGGAAAAGTCAGAAATATCGTGATTTTTACAAATATAAGTCTTTATTTTATAGATATATTTGTTTAGTATTATTAAAAACCCGGAAAAACCTGGATTAGCGAACTTAAAATAAGAACCAAGGGTAACTTGTTATATATATGTTTAGGCAAAACATCAAAAGCATGATTAAAGACATCACAGTTGCCAAAGAAGAAATTAAAAGCAACGGAATGACAGTCGATGGTAGAAGATATCAAGTCAACTTCACAGGTTTGAATTTTTATTATCCAGGTTTTTCAACTGATTCAGATTTTTGTCTCCATGCAAATTCCATAATTTTTAACCGGTCCCATCCGAAAGGCCATGCAAGCAATTAATAGGACTCACTGCAGTAAGTATTTCCAAATGTAAAAAAATAAATTGTGGTTTATGCATGTGGAACAGTTTTTTTAAACTGAAGCTCGTGATTACAATTCTAACTCCATCTTTGCAATTGTGTGAAATGTAATCACATGTTTTCAAAAGTTGCGGATGCAATCTGCCAATTTTATTGCAAAAATTAAATATTTATATAGTGACACTAGACTATAAAGCACTACTATTGATTGTAATCAAAAAAGAAAGGAAGGAAGAAGACCCACCAGCTGCAAAGATTAAAAGAAATATCCTTGGAGGAAGAGGATTAAGTGTAGAGTTTTGCGTATTTTGCACTGCTATTAGAGTAAGTATATAACAGTTTAGGACAACAACGGCGGTCGAGGAATTTAGGAATCTCTAAACTATCCGTCCTTCGTTCAGCCGCCGGATACAATTTAGGCATGCAACGGCAGCAACACGAACATATTTTACTGTACATACATAATATATTCAATTGAAAAATTCAATTCATTTCAGTGACAGTTCTTTGCAAATGCATATATCCAGCTATTCGTGTTGATTTGACATGTGTTGTTAAATTATATACAATTCCCTTCACATTATTTAGGGATGTGCTTGTCCTGGGTTAGCAGCTGGAGAAACATGCATAGACTGTTTTGCTAAAAGCAAAGGAAACATTGGAAAGTATGAAAGATTAAATATAGAATTTAGAATAAATAATTCCATTCAGACTTTAAAACGCTGTTGCAATTAGTAATAGTTAGCAAGACAGGCGAGTAATTTCAACTCAATAATCTTTGTTTTCTTTTATACTATATAGTTGGAAAGAGATTCGTGATGACCTCACACTACTGCTGGATGAAGAAATGCATTCAGTAAATTTATGTGCATTACACTGCGAAATGAGAAACACGGAACAAATTCTTGGATCATTGGGCCTATACGCATATAAAATTGGGAGTTTGGACAATGAAAATGCGAAGCTGGGAGAGTTAGGACCAAAATCCATGAAGAAAAACTTTGTAAGAATTAAGGATTGCAGGAATAAGAATTTAGAAGTCACGAAAAACCACATAAAGATAGCATCAATTTCAGGTAATTAACAGAACCCAAAAATACGTCATAATTATACTATTCAACCAAACTGAACGGTCTGTGAAATGTCTATCTGTTCCAGGTCTGACTGAGCGAACTTTCCTTGCCAACATAGAATCCATCGTAGACTCAGCCCTTGTAATAGATAAGCTCGTCGATTATATAACCATTCCGGCTGCCGAAGATTACCTTCTTAAGAAAATTGGATTTTGCGAAGAGATTAAAAAGGTAGCACTATATATAGACACAGTTCTAACATGTGTTGCTCTGAGAGCCGAACTACATGCATGAAGTACATCATGTTTAGGACTTTGAACTAACAAACAATATGCAGAATACATATATCTATGCCACACAATAGTGAACATAGTATATAACATATCCTTAAGCAAATTTTGTATTAAAGTTTTTAGAGAGCAATCTGCCTGGAAAGACATTCGTGCGAGACTATGGTGTTCGTCAAGAGGTAATAACCATCATGCCCAGAAGTGAGTTCATCATTAAATCTACAGTATTATTATGTATTATTAGGATTTTAATAAATTGTACGTCATATGCAGCAACATATAATGAATGGCATTTCTCATATGAAAAAAGTGTTTTTTTACTATTCTTTTGACATTACTATTACGTCTTTTAGCAGTAAATCAAAATGAATACTGATTTTCCATGATAGGCAAGGTTGAGATGCATGTGCGAGAAAGGTTGACCTTTTGGGAAAAGATGAGTGGCAGAATTGAAGAAACCCTTTGTGTTATCGATGCTATAGGAGATATAAATATCCAAAGGGTTGTAGCCGAAATTCAGAGGGAATTATTTAAAATGGTACATATCGGTCTAAAATTATAGTGATATTGATAATCACATGCATACTGTACAAATGCAGGTGGTTGTACATGCTTGTACATGTAAGATTTTTAGTTTAGTTTAGTTTTTGTAGGTGTACAGTATACAATATCAGCTAGAACGTCGTTCTTGGTGTGAGTATGTGACAACACTGAACTAATAATATTCTTTAGGTCGGATCCATGTGGAAAGAAATTGCTGAGGTAGTCCGCGATACCATTTTTCAAGAAGAGGAAGCTGATGAAATCGATGTATTTGACCTAAAGGTTCGTACTTGTATAAAGTATAGAAGAGTTTATAGAGTTACGAAGTCCTAAAACTCTATTGTATTGTTTACAATACCCAATAACGATTGCCTACGATAATGAGAATCCTCTATAAGCACCACTTAAAGTAATAAAATTAATTATACCATAACAACTGTTAATTCTAGTGTAAGGAATGGTGCTACCACCTTCGTGATACCTTTGGTCCATTGCTTGGTACTGGCAATTATGGTCATCTAATTATTGAGCATGCCTCAATGTTGATGCGAACTTTTGGATCAATGAGGGAATTTAGCAACCAGGGATTTGAAAGTTTTCACAAGGTTGATCGCAGGCTTTACTTACAAGCCACCAATCATGATATTCAGGCAAAAGATTCTTCAGGTTTGTGAAAATAGCTTAGGGTAAAACTCTTTCGGATATAAGTACTGTAGATACACATGTTTCAGTTATATTATAAATTTTCCCTTGTTCTCTTTTGCAGTAAAACAAATTTTAACGCATGTCTATGTTGATAAGTTGTTGTTCCTTCGTCACTCATTGAGAAAAGCCTTGGAGTGCTTTAAAGCAGGTAAAGGGATTTACTTATGACATTTTGGAGATAGTCCGAGGATGATGATAATTGTTTTTTAATATAGATAAGGAATTTTACTTCCGTGGTTGTGGATGAAAGGTGAAGAAGGTAAAATGGACATTGGATGACATGAAATGGATGCAGAAAATGTGCTCATTGTTTGACATGTTATTTGGTCCTGATAAATTTCAGTTCAAAACCTCCAACAAATGCCTTGTAATTCAAAAACATCACCAGCCCAACTTCACCTACAATCACAGCATTTGGGAACAACAGTTTGAACTGCCTGAAATAAAGTCAGAGACTAAATCAAAGGCTAGATGCTCACTCGAGAATGCTTTTGCCAAGGTCAAATGCATCAATCCTGTGGACACTCCCAAAATAGATGTATGGGTTCCCAAATGGGGTGGCTATGCTTATTTGCAGGATAATATTGTTATCAAGCTTATAAACACATGTCCTGTGGATAACTACTTGACCATCCTTTATCTATATTTGAAAGATCATCCACCAGTGCTACATCCTTTATTAGAATTAGCTGCTGTGCATGACTATGCTAGATGTCTCATTAATGTCGTCCAGGCCTTTGACGATGCTGCTGCTGGTACTGGAAAGGTACATTGGCTGCAACAGTTTCCTAAATTCGAATTCTTAGTATCGTCAACTGTAAATATTTGGGGATGTGAGCAAGACATGTTTGTTCCTTGTTTAACACCAGTCACTAGAAACATCTTAACAACAACTTGTACATCGCAGGACTGTCCCCGGCAAATACAGGAACACAACTACAACAGCATTCAATTCTTGATTGTGATGTGGACACAAATGAAAATGTAACGTACCTCGAGTCACTATTTTACCACTGGTTGTGTCCTTCACCCAAAACATGCAATATGGTATTCCAGCAACAGCCTGCAATGACAGCACCAACAAAACTCGGCCATCCTCGACTTGATCTTTCCGATGATTCCTGGACTGAGCCTCTGTGTTGTGGAGGTACTCGCTTGTCAGAAACTCGAAACTTCGCCAATGGACTACCCTAGTTTTTTCCAATTTTCCTTGGAGACTTGGCACAGACAGACAAGCTTCATGGGCCTGAAGAAATTCCAGCCAGTCTTCAGATTTCAAAAGCAAAATACCATTTGGGTGCAATCACATTTTGGAATAGAGTCAATTATTGTGCAAGACTCCAATATCATGGCAGGTGGTATGATTATGACGGTATGCATAACATTCCTCTTAAAGAAATAATTGATGTTTCAGCTCCATCACCAATAGGTTTTATAATATCTTCCTGTGTGTATTTTAAAGAATAAACCGACAGTAAAATAGCTGTATGAATATGAATTGATCAATCAGTACAGTAATAGTAACATATAATTTTATATTGTAGATATACATTTTCCAAATTTAAAAATAATTAGTGTTCTGTCAAGTCAAGTGAGTTGCTGTTGGAGTGATGAGGATTTAGTGAATGCTCTTGTGTCAGAAAGATGTAGTCATCTTTTGCTGACAGATTAAGAAGATGCAGTCATCTTTGCTTGATCAGTTGAAGCTGAATGTCTGCTCATTTACTTCACAGCAACTTGAATATAAACCAACAACCATAATTTATCAAATCATAAGTTACTATTAATTTGTAAGTCAGCTAGGGATGGATGATACTGTTTTTCTTTATCAATTATCATATTATACAGCTGCGTCTGAGGTTAAGCCATGTATATTTTGCTCAATTAATGCCTATATATTGTATATGTTTTATATATTTTGACTTTTGAGGCATTAAATTCAGTAAATTGCTGTTGCAAGATAATAAATGACAATTCTTTCAGTGAATGCTCTTGTGTCAGAAAGATGTAGTCATCTTTTGCTGACAGATTAAGAAGATGCAGTCATCTTTGCTTGATCAGTTGAAGCTGTATGTTTGATCATTTATCATACAGCAACTTGAATATAAGCCAACAACTATAATTTATCAAATCATAAGTTACTATTAAATTGTAAGTCAGCTAGGGATGAATGATACTTTTTTGTTACCAATTATCATATTATACAGCTTTAAATGAGGTTAAGCCAGGTATATTTTGCTCAATTAATGCCTATATATTGTATATGTTGTATATTTTGACTTTTGAGGCATTATATTCAGTAAATTCCTGTTGCAAGATAATAAATGACAATTCTTTCAGTGAATGCTCTTGTGTCAGAAAGATGTAGTCATCTTTTGCTGACAGATTAAGAAGATGCAGTCATCTTTGCTTGATCAGTTGAAGCTGAATGTCTGATCATTGACCATACAGCCACTTGAATATAAACCGACAATCATAATTTAATTATACAATACAATTATACAATTACATAATCATAAAATAATTGGGCAATTTCACTTCTTTTTTAATGTCTAATGCTTGTACAGAAGTCAGATTTTTTTAACAATTAAAATACTTTTGAACAATAACAATATCGAACTTCTTTTGCACAATGTTACCAGGTATTAATATTGATTGTTTATTATAGAAATTGACTTTCAACATCAAAAAAGAATAAATAATGTTGAGAGAAAATCTTCTTATTTAATTTAAGAGGATATAAAAAAGTAATACAAGAAGAAAAGCCAACCCTGGGTTAAATAAACCATGTATGTTATTGATGATATAAGCCCCGTTTACACTACACTCAATTTATTGGCACGACACGGCTAAAATGGGTACCCGTGCCCCTTTCATTAGTTCCCGGCCTTTGTTTTGACAGGCTGAACACTAATAAAATTGGGCATGGGTACCCATTTAAGCCGTGCCGTGCCAATAAATTGAGTGTAGTGTAAATGGGCCTATAGTTAATTCATTTTTTATAGTAGTTCAGATTTCAGGACAAAAAAGTGAAGTTGGAACTTAAAACTTTTCGTGGTCTTGTACAAGTCGGCCCAGTAGATGATTTCAGCCTCTCTTGTCGATCTCACTTCGCCTTCTGAGACAACAAGGGCGATACGTGATGTCGGTGCCTGTTCGATTCGCTCTGAATATGACAGGTTTGTAGCATTGGCTTTTGCCCTTGCAATTTTCTCCTTCATTGACAATGTCGAGCTTGAGCAACCTGCCGTACTCTCCACCCGCTGAAAATGGTGAACGCTGAAAATGCCACTTTTGGATGAACTTTAACTTTTTTCTGCACTTCTAATACGCTTTTTAGGGCTATCAATGAGTGCACGCGGTAGCTAACTCTTTTTGCTCGGACTCGATACGGAACAGCACGGTGACAAGTGTATGAGATGCTATGCGGAGACATGACTTCATCTGTTAGGTCCAGTATGCTAGCAACAAAATGCAAAACATATTTCTCTGGGACACAGGGGTCTTCAATTTTCGTCCATCGTCCTTGAAAACAGTGAATGTGCATGTATATATATATATATGCCCAAAATTTGGGTTAGGGCATTATTCGTTCATATATCAGTAACACAATTAATATTTTGCAAATATCTCTTTTTTACCTGGAAGCGCTGGATGTAATGCCTCATTTACTCTTTCAGCGAGAGTGGCAAGCCAATTATGATAACCTTCAAGATCCTCATGTAAAATATTAGGCTTAGTGACCTCAACAATTTTGTTGTCTTCTTCTATGAAATCAACCGCCGAAATGCGAAGCTGATGAGAAGCCATCATATGTCGCCAGACTGATTTTGAAGATTGCCATGATCTTGAACAACGGGGACATCTTACACTACAATTGAAGCGCTTTAAGGACATTTTTATTATAAGGCCTGTATCTGAACTCGTATGCACGTGTTTTTAGCGGCGTAGCTATTCAAAGGCTTTTAAATGCCTGCCATATGTATAAAACAAGACAGGTTCGGTCATTGGATAGCCTGTCGGCTGTCGGTAGCTTAACGTACTTCCTGATTAGCGGTAATATGCAATTTCTTATGTTTTACAAACTTGAAATTTACGAATCTTCACAAACTACAAATGATACCTAAACTAAATGGTATATAGCAATAGATAAAGATAAATGGTCGATAATACGGAATCTAATCACTCCAATGCGTAGCCAAGCCTGGTAGTTTTAATAGCCATAAAATGCTTTGCAAACTCTAAGGAAATACCAAGCACCTTGTATTTTAACAAGGTATCAATTTTCAACTTAACCTTAATGTTCTAACAAAATTTTCTGGCAACAAACTGATACATATACAGTCAAATTGGTAATCAGTATGGCAAAAACGAAAGGCAAAAGCGACTTCGTTTGGCGTGCGAACTCGTTAGAAGAGAAGCGCAAAATGAGAAAGAAAAGAAACGAAAGGAAAAAACAGAAGTGGAGAAAAAAAAAAGGAAAAACAAAGGGAGTCGCCGAAGCCGAAGTTTACGTGGCTATGCAAGTTGCACAGGGTGAGGCATCGCAGTGTAAGAAATTTACCACAAAATCGAAGTATATAGCACCCAAACGAGACGCAGCAAAACGAAACGACAAAAAGGAACTGGTAAATACTCTACTGCTTATATAATGATAAAGCTAAAGAAGTTAGTTTACCCAACCGCTTCATATTGTGTTTTGAGAGTCACTTGTTCGCCTTTTCCCACTTAGGTTTCAAGACACCGAGTCGATGTTAAGAAAATTAAGCGCACTGATTTAATCGACATTGGAAACGCGAAGTCAGTATTTGCGAAAGGAGTCTTTGGAAAGTGCCACCTTAAAATGTACCAGGGCCACCTTGTTGTTGCCAAAGAATTCCGAGACGGAGTTTCAAGGTCCGAGGTCATAAACGAGGCCAAGATACTGATTGATTTGCCCAGCCATCCTGGATTACCCGTTGTTCTCGGAGTTGATATTTCGACGAAGCCCTTTCTTATGGTTTCGTTATTTTATGGTTTGAATGAGAGTAACACAACATTGCACAGCCTATTGAGCGTTGACGAGCAATTTTGTTCCGTCAAGAAGATAGAATTTTTGGCAGTTATTAGGCAGTTGTGTGAAGTCCTCAAATATCTTCACGCGCACAATCTTCTGCATAACGACATTAAATGTGATGTTGTAATTTATAAAGATTTGGAGGGCCTTAAACCCGTCCTAATTGACTTCGGTAAAGCTTGCAGAATCGA